TATTTTCAAACTTTCTCAATGCATTAAGATTCCTTTACAGACTATAAAGGAATATACTCTTAAGTGCATTGATTATGATGCTTTGGAAGAAGTCCCAGAACTCAAAGAGAACTGTTCTGCTATACACTAAAATCTTTTCTTAGGAATACTAGAGTTTTTCTAATGAGGTAGCACACTAAAGACATTTTGAAGGCCATCTATTCCTCAAGTGATTTAGGTACATGAGACCTTAAACATGTTTCGAATTTGGGAATTACTTTGAAACTTTAAAATACTTACAAGCAAGTTCTGTTGTCTAAAGAGCAATATTTCATACCTTGGTGGTTGGTTTATCAGCCACATTTCTTCCTAGGCGAAAGGTGTTGAGAGATAAGCTCCTTAAAATGCCCACAACCTAAAATACTGCCAGTACTCTGAAATACCAGAGCGTGTGCCCCGGAAGATAACACCACCTGCGCCTGTGTCACCCTGGCAGACACTGTGGCATTTTAGCATAAAATCCCCCTCCAAAGCAGCCAGGCTCTGTTGGGCAAGCCAGAGTGGTGGGGGAGAGCCATCCTGCTTGGCACTACTGTCATGGAACAGGAATTTTAGCTGGTAGTAAAACTTAAAGCATTCAAAATAAAAAACTACGGGTGCATTTTTCCTTGTTTGGTGTTTTCTTTTTTTTTTTTCCCCAAACAACGTGAGACAAAAAGATTATTTTTGAAGCTGCACTGTGGGTGTGTCTTCTTGTTCTGAATCCAAACACTGGCTCCAAGGGCTCAGTAGCTCCAAGAAACTTTTGTTCAAACCTTGAACGCTTTGAGGCCTGGAAATGCCTGTGGCATGACTTAAATATTCTGTACAAAACGTGATAATTTAAAAAACAATAATAATTAAAAAAAACCCAACAAACAAAAGAGGACCACCTTGCTTTAAAATCATGCTGACGACATCCCAATAGCATAAATATTGCAGTTTTGTCACTTTCATCCTCAGTTACCTACAAGTGAATAACTACTTTGTTCAAAAAATTTAGCAAGGCCTCTGTTATCTCACTTCATAAACTATGTAATATTGAATTCAACTCAGGTCCACCGTTTGCATATAATCAATGCTAAAGCGTAAAAGGCAAAAAATCCTAGACTGACAGACACTGTAAACATTTTATGTTTATGTTGAGTAAGTCTTATCACTCCCTGTGGTTTGATTTTAATACAAATTAATCAAATTTATTTCAAGCTCCTCCTTTCTGACTTCTGTTAAGCTTCCCTGCTCTGACCCACTCTACCCATACCTCATAGCTTTTCCTTCTATACAGAACTTCCCATGGGCCTTATATCCATAAGTGCTTACATTATTTACTTTCGTCCTGAGCCAGGGGAACAAGCACAGTATCCCCCTTAGCCACAACAACATTTGCAAACAGGCTGGACGTCCAAAAAGCCCATTTCCAGTTTGTTATGTTTTCAGAAATAAAAATACTATTTAGCCCAGTCGAAAACTTTTTCATTGGGGTAAGGCATAACTATTTTTCAAAGTTTCAGCTGCACTTAAAGGTTATATGATACGTTGTTTCTTCATAAAAAGCCAGGCACCTTAATGCCTAACAGTATTGCTACATAGTAGCACACAAGGGATAATAAATAACCTTAAAACAACTATTCAACTGGTCAATGTATAGAGAGCAAACATATCATGGAAAATGTGTTCTTTCATATAAGAATGCTTCTGGGTTGCTTATTAGAAAGTAGTAATGTGGTCTTATTGGAACTAGTAGTGACTAAAAAAAGATACAGGCCTGCTTTCAAAGGGGGAAAAAAGTGACATAAACAGACAATTTCCATCCAAAAGAGAAAAAATACTGTACAGGATCTTATACTCAGAAGTTTATTCCTGACTGATCCAACAGACTAACAACAATCTGGGTTCTTCTCTGTATTTCACAGCTGGGCATCATCCCATAAACACAAGCCCCATACAGCTTCCATTTTAATAGTTAGTTACAGGGGTAAAAAGAAACAGACACATTAAAAAGGCTACTTGATCCTGCGGACATGATGCAAGCTGGATATTTGTTAAGATTACTTAACTCACTAAGAGAGTTATAATTTCAGATTTTTTTTATTTCTATAAATCTGAGAGGCATATTACAGAAATACACAAGCAATCTGATTGCTCAGTCATAAATTACTTGAAGTTTTTAGAGAGAAAGGGAAATGAAAATTTTAGCATGAAGAAGCCAGATTGTCACGGCTCACTGAGAAGGAAAATAAAGGATCATGAACTAGTGGTATTTTAAGAAGCTGTTATAGTTGCTGTTTTAGAAGTACTGAAGAAGAAACATCTAAACAAAGGACTTGGGTGAGGGAGGAAAATAAATAAGTAAGTAAATAAATAAAAGCGGCTTGGCCAGCTTGTGCTCCTTATCCCCAAAAGAAGACTCAAACCTATCTGTCAAGCCAGCACTGCTTTATACACATTCTCCCTCTGCAGCCTCCCTTTGTACCAGTGTTTTCGGCCAGAAGAGTCAACAAGTGTTATACAACACTGGTTACTCAAATAAGCAAGTGAGCCGTAAAAGGAACTTCAAATCTGGCAGTATAAGCAGAAGTGAAAAACAGATGCTGAAGACGAACTGAGGATGCACAGCAATATCAAGAAGATCAGAAATATGGAAATGCAACTGAAACATTTAGAAAGAAAGAAAAGGAAATCCCAGTACAAACTACCAATCTAATTACTTCAAATGTACTTCAGAGACAAAAGGAAATTTTACAACACACTCAAGAATTGGCTAATAAATTTAGCTGAAGAATAGTACAGTGAACTTTTTAATATATTTAAAGATAATTAGGGTTCCACAAATAGACAGTAAGTGTCCCATGGTCATTAAGTCATGAGGAAAGAAGGAGGATGAAGAGAAATAATGGAGAAGAGAAAGAGCACAAGACTTTAGGTGGATGCCTTTAGTATGTAAGGACACACAGACAAAAGCACATGTAAATGTTTACACACAGAGGCACTTAAGAAGAGAGCAAGTCTGGCTATGATGATACAGGACGAGCAGAGAAAACAAACTATTTTGTGAAGAACATTTGCATAGTGAAACAAATATCCAGCTCATCTGTTAATCCAAAAATAGTCATTTAAAAATAACCACTGACACCCACAATCTATTGTGAGTGTTCTCCAATTTGAAGCATAAATCAAAATAAAATAAAATAAAATACTGATCAGAAATGAGGCTTATTAGATCTGTAATATATGCAGGCTTCAGAGGCTTAGCATTTCCTAAGCTTGGATGACAGCATATTTGTTTACACACAGTATTATGGAAGAGTGATCTATTGAAGGTCAAATCTAGACAGATGCGCAAGGATTCAGAATGAATAACCAAGAATCCAGCATTTAATGTAACTCTTCCTGCCATAGCAAAGGAAGTTATCTTGGCAGAGATCCTCTTCCACTTTGGTGCAAGATAAGAAATGAATCCCTTTTGTATCACTGCCTTGCAGTGTTTGTGGCTGACATTTGCAGTGCACCACAGCAGTTGTGAGAAGCTAGGAATAAGATCATAAAGACCTACCACAGAATTTGAACTATTTGCAAAAATCATTGATAAATTTAGTAGATAAGCAGGGATTTAAATAAGGGCTACATATAAGACAAATTTTTAGCCTAAATACCTTAAATATGTTTACATATACTATATAGAATAAGGTACTGTTGTGTTGTAATTACAAACGTATACTAGGGTTTCCTACTCAGAAGTTTTTGTAACAGCTTAAAACCAAATAACTAACAAACCTCAAGCTGTTGTGCTACTGACCTTGTGCAGAACTCATTAAAGTCTGTTGAGAAGAAATCATTAGCTTGCATGCAAGTAACCAGTCAAAGATCATCACCGGGCAGCAGTTAATCAGCCCTTTCAACGACGAGAAAGTTCAGGAGGCACTAACTCCCTCCTGCTCCTGCACAGAGACATGCTTTTCGCCTCCCGCCTCACTTCTGTTTGAAAGGAGGGCGGAAGACAAGCCTGTCTGAACTGACATACAGGGGTTTCTGTAGGACCGGCTCTGAGCAGTTTACTGGGAAGCCTGAAGCAAACCAAGCAAGCAAGCACACCAATGTAGGTCCCACTCTGGGAAAAAGGTGTACCCATAAATACAGATCGAGCGGAGAACAGTGGAAGATGCTGATTGTCAAGGAAGGAATCATGCAAAAAACCACAACACGACACCAACACACGCACATGTGAAATTCTCCTTGATTCACTTTCTCGTGGTGGCTGGTGCTGGGGCTTATCCGCAGTAGGAAGAAAGCTGATGTGTCCTTATGAATACACAAATATACCCCACAGGTGTAACTTTCAATATTCCTCCCCAGGCAGTGCAAAGAAAACATTTTCTTTGCCAGCACAGCATCACTGCTAGCAGGCCTGAGGCAGACCAAGGAATTGCTGACATCTGTCTGGAGCCAGATACTGGTGGCATGCATCTCCTACCACAAACACGCAGGTGTCTTCAAAGCACCATTGGCCAAAGCACAACCACTTGTTGGGAGAGGGTGCAAAACAGTGAGTCACATGTAGCAGATATTACTCTTTTTTCTTGATATGCTACTGAAGGACACGCTGGTATTACGTTTGCGAACAGGTGAAAATATAAGTACAAAGTGGCTGGAAACTTTACCCTTTCACAGCAGCACATGTCCTTTGGCCCTCACTCTATGTATAACACCACTAAAAACAATGGAGGACTTCAGGAAAAATGTACTAACTGACAAAAAAGCAGCCAGTTCTGAGGTGCATAAATGTATTTCTATATGCATTCTTGTGTATACAATGCATATCTTCTTAAATTTCCTAATTTAAACTGTAGAACCAAGGTTCTTATGTCAACTTTTACCTAGCTAGAAGGACAAAAACCGTGCAGCAATTGTAATAGTTCTGTGATGAAGACAGTTTCAACATAACTTTTTTATATGCTCTAGTCACCAAAAAGCAGTTGTTTTACCTCTTAATATTAAGCAATGCCCAAGGTATCCCAGTGGGAGTGTTGAAAGCAGGTAGCAATTTCTCTCCAAGCTCCACGGCCTTTTTTCGGAAAACCTGGAAGTTAAGAAGAAACAAACTGTTGGAAAATGCATTGTTGCTCCCACTAAATTAATTTAGATAATACTGTTATTAGCGTATAGTATAAGTCATCTCGGCACAATGAAGCATCCCTGCTTTTTTCAGTGACGTCAAAGGAACAAAGCAGCACAACCCGTTTTCCATTGCACACAGTAACGGGAGAGCTCAGCAGCAGGATCACACGGTGACGATGCCCAGATGACCTGCGTCTGGCATGACCAGCATCAAGCCAGAGACATCAGCATGCTCAGACCTGCTCCGGCTTGCGCAGAGCTGCTTGCGCACTCCCCGCCGTGCCTGCCAGGCGCTCAGGGGTCAGGGAGGGGGGCCGTTAGCCGGGCACGCTGCTGGATCCAGGCTGCTGGCAGGCAGCTCCCTGCCCCCAGCGACACCTCCTCCCGGAGCCGGGGGGATGCTGCCGCAGAAACGCCGCCTTTGCTCTCTGTGAGGTTCATTAACGGTGGCTCAGCGTGCCGTGGGAACCCGGGCTGGGTCGCCATGTACCTGCCGTACCGCGAATGTGCTGCACGGATGATCTGCAGCAAAAACAACCCCCTCCCCGCTCCCCCTCCGGAAAAAAAAAAAAAAAAAGAAAAATGATATTTTTGCAGCACCACAGTCTTATGGACTCAGCTGGCTTATACCCAGATGGGTATCAATGCCATGATTAATCAAAAAATTGGAATATACACATAACTGAGACTTAACTGGTCTTTAGCATGTAGACAGTTTCAGATTTCATCTTAAAAACAAGAAGCGGGAAGACCCCAATTGCTTAACACGTGCCCACAAGAATAACAAACAATTTAACATCAGGAACTTTTATGTTCAGAGTAATAATTAGAAAGCTAGAACAAAGAGGATTTTGCTCTCCTTCAACTACCAGCTCAACTCAGGTTACATTAACCTGACTTTTCGAGCACTGAGTGCTCTAGTAAGAGAGTTTTTAATTAGAAACAATATTGTTCCAACTTAAATATAGAAACCTATTTAATGATTTCAATATGTAGATGTTCAAGGCCTATTTGCTTGGAATTACACTGGGATCCTACGCAACACAGAAAGAGATTATCCCAGGTGTAGTAGCCAAAATAGCAAAGTCACCTTCATCGTCTTCTCTTTGTAATAATGGTTCCCTTCAATTCATTTTTTTTCCCCTCAGACATATTTATGATGAATTTTATTTATGTAGTAGAAATCAACTTGTACATCTGATGTATCTCATGGTGTAGCCAAGTAGGGTACAGCGAATTTTTAGAGAAGGAAAAAAAATGCATATATGTTTATGTGGATACATAAAGACATTTGCTGGTCAAAACACGGTAATGAAGAAATTTCTTTCCACACAAATAAAATACAATTTATAAAATCCCACTTTCTAAAAGCCACTTTGAGTAAAGGTTTTTATTATTGAAAAATACATGATCAGGAGACAATATAAAACTCTGGGATAATCATGTTACCATAAAGAAGGTCCAGACTATCCCACAGTCTCTTCATATGACACAGATGTCAAGATTTCTGCGACAACAGTCCAAGATTTAGAATTACAGTACAAAATATTTTGAGGGAGGTTAAGTAATTTGAAGCCAAATGATGGCTGGAGTCAGAAAACTTTTTCAAGCGAATTGTATGTGAGTGCTGGGAGAAACCTGAAGCAAGGCAGCAGGGAAAACAATTTGCTTGGAAATCCCTTCATAATCCATGTTAATTCTGACTTCCGGGTTTACCGTTGTGTGGATTCTGCTGAGAATTAGTGATGGATTTCTGATCTTCATCCAGCACGTAGTTCAGACTCCCCAGCGTTTAAAACCTTGAGGGACACCCAGAAACAGTTGGTGCAGAACATAATTATCTCTTAGTAGATTTCCTTGAGAGGAGGCAGCAACAGCAGCCCCACCAGGAGCACACAAGCTTTCCTCTCATTACACTACACAGCCACATTTTTTCACCTTGGTCTGTTGAACCCAAACCTAGGCTTTGCTCTTTCAGCACAGGAGAGGCCTCCTCAGCCTTTCCCAACATACGGTGCGATCAACCCATCAGCTTACCTTAGCATCCCTGCCCTGAAACACTGAAGTCTTCGCAGGAGAACGGTTACGATGACCCTCCCAAGCAATGGGCACACAAGGACCCCGAATTTCTGTAAAGCACCTGCTGCGCAGCGTAAAACCCTATCTTTTGCCATATGTAAAGGGGGTAGATATTTTATTTTATGGAATGCGGTTAAAGGTGCCATATGTACTCTCTTTAGATGTGTATTTAAGGACAAGAGGAGATCTCCCTTTCTAAAAGCACATATATATTTAGCCACAGCAGCGGCAGCAAGGCTCAGTAACTGCTGTACCTTACAGGCTGTGTTAATCCTTTATCATTAAAGCTCAGAAAGAGGTCTGTTACAATAATTGCTTCTGGACAAAAATGTAACATTTTAGTATCTTAATTAAAGATCTGCTGTACAGCAATAATGCTTTACTTTCAAATATTTCTACCAACTCTCACATATTTTTTCAACTCTATTGTATTTATTTTATAAATTTACAACCCAATTTATTTCAAAATAAAACTGCCTACTTCACAGAAATGTCAAAAAAAAAGGTTATCAAAAAATAAACACATCCGATTCAAAGCAGTAAGGAAATATTGTTCCACATATGGATATGCAAGGAAAATGTAATTCACTGCTAAGGACAGTGCTCTGAACACCAACATTAGAACACAGAGTGAAGCTGGGCGTTCTAACTTCTTTCTTGTCCAAAATCCACCTCTTCCAATGTAGTAAATAATTTTCCTAGTAGGCAACTAGGAAAAGAGAATTAAAAAATTGTTTTTAAACCATCATAAAATTTTGGAACAAGTCTTGAGGTGAAGATGCACTTCTTGTTTACAGCAGAATTTCAACAGGTTATTACTAATGCATGCTAGTAATTTTCCTTCCCTTTCCAAAGTTAAAAAAAAAAAAAGTCAGCTACGGATATTATCCAATTTTATCTCTAGGGCTAATTTAACAAGGCTGAACAACTGACTGCTAAATCACTATCTATTAAGTAGAACAGTATAGGCAAGAATGACAAGCATACAACAACACTGAATGACTGAACACAATAAACAGCAACTTCATGCAGCAAAATTATGCTCTTTCAGCAAGGGTAAAAGGGTGAAGATTAATAAAGGAACTACTTTATTTTTCAATTTGCAGCTTTAATGGTTAAAAAATAATAATAGGAAAAGCAGGTGCTGTAATTATTGCACACCATCCACAATGTTCAGCACATTTTTCTTGTGCAGAAACTTCTAATATTGGACAAGAAATAAATATTGTAGAGGGTAATATATTTTTTCAGATAATAAAAGTAAATAAACAACAGAAACTTCTTCTTAATCTCTCTATTGCTGACATGAATTTCAACTTTTTGCCAAGGCCTAATCTCTCCCCACTATCACTCAGTAAAGTCATTTTTTGCAAAAGTATGCAAAAAGTATGACAGCCATTACTGAGATGCACAGAGTAAAGGCAGAAATGACAGAGCACAAAACCGAGAGACATTATGTATAATAAAGGAAAAGATCTACAGCAAAATTTCCCATTCCAGTGATTATCTTGAGAGGCTCGAGGACTTTTCCTGGCCTCTCCTCCGGGGTGCTCAGCCCGCAGGAATGAAGGCCTACTTACACGAAGTACTCCAACTGGATCAGACCTAGCAGAAGCTGTCATGGTCCCATGCCTGCACCCACCCTTCACCCCACACTTAGTTCTCATGGTTTAAATACTTACTTACAAGTCTAAAAGTCTATAAACCACTCCCAAGGCCTCCATGACTTGCTCCACTGGTCTATCATATCTGGACTGCATACTTTTTAAGGAAGAGGAACTGTAGAGTTATTTCCCTGACATATCAGCTGTCCCTTCATCAGGTGATACAATGAGTAAGCCACACCGTCATCAATCCCTTCTTTTAAATTGAGAATTCAGAGGAAAGTATTGTGGCTACCTTTAAAAAGCAACCAAACCACTAAAAATTGCACTGACATTTAGCTCAGCTAGATACTATACTACAACAAAGAAAATTATTTTAAATGAAGCACTGTGATTCAGGAAAGAAAATGATAATTGAAACCAGTCAGAAATACATGATCAGTATGTAACGCTATAAAGTTAGGTAGGATATTAAATGCTTTCTCAAGCATTTCTCTCTAACCTAATTTTTGCCAGAAGACAGATTTTGGATGGGAGGTAATCCTTCTTTTTAAACTCAAAGTATTATTAACATTTTTTAAAAGGTTTATGTAAGATCTCTAACAAACTTGTATGATATTGATTCTCACTGTGTGAAGGTCTTGCGTAAGAAAGCCTCCTCCGTGGTATAAGTACACAAACTCCTTCACACTCTGCAGTCCTACTAATAATTAAAATTAGCACTAAAGCAAATTAGATACTTACTACAGTCGTATAATAGATTATACGGAAGATAGAGTTACTACATTTTCTATTGAGATCTCTGTTTATACTAGTAGGCTATGAATTGTTAGTTAAAATAAGCTCAATGCTCAGTAAAGCAGCACCTTTGTTGACCTTTGAGTTACCAATCTCAAGTGCCTTACAAACACAAAAGTCACACCAAACCCTGTCACCATTACTCCAAGCCAGCAATTCTTTGAACAACATATGAGTACGCAGTAACACGTAAACAAGAAATCCACCTCGCTGCTGCGCACATGCAGCTTTCCTGTCACTGTCTCTTCGTTCCACAGGCAACCCACGTACCATGCCAGGGAGCAAAACATTATTTTCTCACTCCATTAGATGTTCTTAATTATTTTTGAAATACATATAAATATTTTTGGGTCTTCATAAGAGAGAACAAACTAACTTGGGAAGTTCCTTACCACACCACCACTGCACAAGCTGCTAGGAGGTATGCTTTTGCACAACACCCTACCTATGCACATCGTGATTCCCAGTGCCAAGACTCATC